CGGATTTGGACTCTTTGGTTCAGATTAAGAACCGCGACAACAAAAATCGCGAGTCCGAACTGTAGCAGCGAGGTCCCCCTCCGCGGGCTTGTTACAGTACTTCAATTCATGTTCTTGAAAATTAACGTACTTGAACATATCCATAAGGCTTATACATAAGGCTTATAATGATAAATTGTAATTAACGTACTTCAAATTCACCAAATTCAACTCAATTCATGTTCTTAATTACAATTTATCTTTGAGTTCACATAATTACAACTCAAACTCATGAATTCATGTCTAATTACGCACCTAGAGGCTCAAATCTTCCAATTCATAGCTAGTTCTTGAGCCTAGCTTCCAAATTTCCAAGCTTTTAGTTCAAAGTTCCAATTTGTGCTCCCTCTCTCTCTACAATCGCCTCACTGTCTCTCTCTCTCTCTCTCTCTCTCTCTCTCTCTCTCTCTCTCTCTCCAAGTAGAATCAGCCAAGTACCCACCAGCATATTCAAAAAAGATCAAGAAAATGTCTGAAAGTAGTGACCAAGAGAGGAAAACGATGAAGAACTCAAATATTGAGGAAGAAGAAAAATAAAAAGATGAAGAGAAGGCAAAGGATGTTTCAGAAGAACAGAACCCATTAGTGACAGCTGCTGGTGATACAGAGTCCTCTGACAAATTGACTAGAGAAGAACATGTTGATTTCATAAAAGCCCAAATTGATCTTAATATTCCAAAATCAAAAACAGAATCAGAATGCAGGTAACTACTTGTTCTTGAACAAGAAACTTATTCTTTCACTAATGTATTCAATCTTCTTTGTGTCGTATGCACTTGGGTTGCTGTAACACCTCAAATTTCTAGCCCAAATAATAATACATTTACCTCAAATCAAAATAACATAAAACAAATAAATACCCTCATGGGTTTAAAAGTTTCCAAGGCTAAGGCCCGGTTACACAAATTGGTTATTTAAACCCACACAAATACAGCCCTTGGCTTACGAAACAAAGTCACGCAAAATGAGAGCATTGTACTCCTAACACACATATTTCCACGCCCCTAGTTGGGTGGAATCAACACATCTTTTCCTGCACAAAAATCCCGTAGGGTGAGCATAAAGCCCAGTAGAAAATTCTTAACAAAGTACATACATTTTATACAAGTCTCAAGAGATGAAATGCACATGCCATACTATGCTCTTTTTGAAGATAAATTACATTTTCATCTTTTGAAAACCATTATGCTCAATGATGTCACGCAAGTTCAATTGTTCAAAACTTAATAATTTATTTCAAGGGCGGTAAATACGTCTCTGGTAATCTCTAGGCTGGTGTCTGCAAGTAGACTATACAAGTACTATCAAATTGTCATTTTTACCGGTATTAATCGGAAGGCTCGACACCTATCCGCGCAGTTTTTTCGGTCTTTCACCCCGGACCCGCAGGCCAACTTATTCAATATCATCTACACCACCTATCAAGACTTACCAACATATTTACTCCAAAATCATTTCATGAAAACTTGTTTCTCAACATTCTTTTCTAAATGCAAGGTTTACAAATCAAATTTCAAAGCTCTTCGTTATCAAATGAATTGATATGCCAATGCAATGATTAACAATATAATGCAATATTTCTTCCACTTTCAATACTCCGACACAATATTCCCATTGTGATCAAAATTCTCATTTCAATGCAATTTCACAAGATGAATAAATATTTTTATTTCAATTCATCAAATGGATAACATAATTCTCACATTTCAAATAATCTTAACAATTTAGTCATCTCAAGACTATATTAATACTTTTAAATAACAATTCCTGAAACTTCAACAATTCCCATATTCCATGAAAACATTATTTATATGTAAATAAATAAACAATTTTCAAACATCATTTATTTTGGCACACAAAATAAATATAACAATATATTCTAAAAATTTTCAACATCTTTCTTAAAAATCCATAATTTCTAGGTTTTCTCACCAAAAATCATTCATCTTCAAATATTTGAGAAGATCTCACCAAAAACATCTTTCTTTCATCAACATAGTTCAAAAATATAAATTTCTATTTTTAGAAGGAAAAAAAAGTAAACCCACTTTTAAAATCATTCACCTTCTTGAATCAACAATCAATTTTTCAAAACAAATCAAAGGATGATTTCTAAAATCATTTAGATCTTGCAAAAATATATATATAACTCAAAGAAAATTCTACCTCAAGCTTGAAGAGGAAACAAACAAAAATCTCAATTTTCAGTTGTATTGGATTTCGATCTCCACCGGTCAAAACGTTGCTCTCGCCAAGCTTTTCACTTTAATCTTAACAACTATGGTCTAAAACTACAATGTTAATGGCATCAGTAGATGGAAAATCAAAGCTAACACTCTCCATTTCATTACCCAACTTTTGGAGATATAGTTGAGCAAAATACGCCTCATGTACTCTCTTGGTGACTCGAACAAACTTCACTTCATAGCCCATTGTGTCAATCATCACCTTCACAATTTGATACATGGTAGGCCTAGTAATTTGGACATTGCGTATGGCAGCCATAAACAGCACACTTGGTATCTCCAAAAAGATTATAGGGAGGAGAAGACCCGTCCCATCTTCCATCTTCAGTACGACAGCAGGATGTGGAGCATAATCAAGCAGATGCCCACTCTGCGGGTTGTTATGAACACATCTTAAATTCCCACCATCTCTCATCTTAATCATCTCCAGTTCGGCTATGTTCAATTGCGGCTTCGGTCCGAACCAGTGCAGAAATGTTTTCTCATAAACTCTTGACCAGTTGTAGTAGTGCGGAAATGCCCTCTCTACTATGTCATGGTTTTGTTCAAAAAAAACTATGTCATGGTTGAACGACATGGACTTCGATTCAGCTTAGGCGATCATACGCCATCTGATCTCTACCGAGTTTCCGATAATCGGATGGTAGCTAGGCCTCCTTGTGTTACTGAGATACAATTCCAGACAAATATGGGTCTGTTGTTTAGGAGGTCTAGAGCCTCCTCTAATACTGATGAAGATGGTCCTTCTCCTTTTCAGAACTGGGCTGGTTTTCGGGTGCCAGTGCAGTGGTTGGGTCGCTGGAGCTTGCTGGTGCGAGCACGTTTCTGGCGTGTTTGATGGTTCGCTCTAATCCGATTCGGTCTCGTGATTTTTTTCGCACGCTCAAGTTTATGTGTGTGGACTCGATCGAGTGATTGTAAGGGTGGTTCGCACTAATATTGACTCAGAGTTGAATCACCGGCAGTGGTTATGTTGCCGTCGGTGCTAGGTTTAGCTGCTCCGACGTCGTTGTTACCGAAGCGTAGGTTGTGTTGGTGCTGGGTTGTGCTCCGGCGGTGCTCTCTCTTCATCTAAGTCACACTGGGTATGGACTTCTCTCTCTCCCCTTCTCTCTCTCTCACTCTCTCTCTCTCTTTAATCTCCAAATAATATTCACCACCCCCTGATAGCATCCAGCATACAGTAGCCGTGCAATTACAGCCACAGCTGGTGCATCATCCAGAAAGTATAATATGATCCCAGAAGAAATAATGAAACTACCATA